AAAATGAGGACTGGGGATAAGGGGGGGCACACACAACCAGGAAACACAGCCAGCACCCCAGCAACAGGACCCCAACCCGCCCAGGGCCACAGGGCACAGAGGGGACCCGCAGTGGGCTCGGTGCTGCCATCGCCACAGCACCGGAATGGGGCATGGGGGGCCGGATTGATGCCGCATCCAGCCTTGGAGCAGGGTCCGAGATGGGCTGTGCCAGAGAGGGCTAGGACTTGCCCCAGCTCCCCAGGGGTAAGGGGGCAAATGGGGACATGGGGGTGACAACCAGCCCCGGCCCCAGCCCCACTGCCACAGTGTGAAGGACAAGGACAAGACAACAGACACCCTCTCCCACCCCGCATGCCCCAGGATGGGGTTAACAGCCACTGACGATGAGAGAGGGGGAGGCAGAAAGGGGGTTCAGACCCTCCCTGGGGCGTTGGGACCCCCACACCTCACCCACACCCCAGTGTTTGAGGGTGCTGGTCTTGGGACACCAGCACCCATCACTGCTGGGGGATGCCAACAGCATCCCCAGTGCTGCCACACGCATCAGCCCACAGGAAAACCAGGGTTAAAGGATGTGGAGGTCCCCAGGCACTTGGCAGCCCCTGGGGCTGATGCTGGGGACCCTGGGCAGGCAGGACAGGACCCTCTTCCCTTCCTGCTCCCCCTCTCTCATGGTCACCCCGAGGAGTTAGTGCGTGAGCAATGCACCCAGAATCAAACTGTACCCGCTCTAGCTCTCGAGGAGGTCCGCTGGAGGAGGAAGAGGAGGAGGAGGAGGAGGAGGAAGAGGACAGCACAGAGAAGTTCAAGGAAAGAACATAAGAAATCAGTTGAACATCAAAGTCTCCCAGGCTCTGGGTTGGCAGCATGGGCCAGTGCAGGGGTCCCACAGGCTGCCAGCTTTGAGAGGGATGAGGAGCAGCCACCGGAGACAAGGGGAGTGAGGAGAGGGAGGTGGACCTGCTGGCACTGGGGGGGATGTCCCCCCTTTCCAGGGAGGACAGCACCGGGATGTCCCGCTCCAGCACACCCGGCTTTGTCATGGCCGTGGTGAGATGGGCTGGCTGCCCGCGGTGGTGGGAGCATGGGGGGACACATGGCTGGAGAGGGGCCACAGGGTGTCCTGGTGCCAGGACCAGGGGGACCAGTGCTGCGGATGCTGCTCCTCACCTGCGGCATCGCCGGGCGCCGCGGTCCTGCCAATGTTGGGGAGCAGGTACTCGATGTTGGGCACGGACTGAGCCTCCTTCTCATCCACGGGGGTCTGCAAGGGGAGGGGGTACAGTGGTCACCCCAGCTCCCAACTGGGCTCTGTGCCCTCCCTGCCCCACCGGGAGACCCCCATGGGGGACGGGACTCACCTTCTCGCCCTTGTCCTCCTTGTCACTGAAGAACCAGTCCGACTGTGGGGAAGAGATGGGAGAGGGGTTATGGACCGACGAGGAGCTCGGTGCGGCCGGGGAGCCCCGTTCCCCATTCCCGGGGTGCGGATCACCCCCCCTCCCATCCGCACTGATGCCCAGCTGCTCACCAGTGCCACTTACGTGCTGGATGAGGGTCTCCACGATTTTGTAGCGGTCGGGCATGTGTGTCACCATGTCGGTCATGTTGTCCTCAGATGTCCGCACCAGCGTGGGGCCGAACACCAGCGCCAGGTTTCGGGGTTCCATCTGCAACCGGAGGCGGGTCAGTGCCTGTCCACAGCCACCCCTTGGTGCTCACCACCCCATCAAGCACCATCGCCCTTCCCACCCAAGGTGGGCAGGCTTGAGGTGGGGTAGAGGTCCAAGAGAGCCCCAGGATGGACAGTACCTTGTTCTTCTCCGAGTGGTCAGCGATGGTCTTCAGGTGACCCACCAAGAACTTGAGTGTCTCGTAATAGTGACCTGGCAGGTCCCGGATCTGTGGGGAGGCACCAGGTCACCTCTCTGCTCACCCCTGGAGCTGTGCCCC